GACATTAGGAAGAACTTCTTCACAGTTCGAGTGGCCAAGGTCTGGAACGGGCTCCCAAGGGAGGTGGTGCTCTCCCCTACCCTGGGGGTCTTCAAGAGGAGGTAAGATAAGCATCTAGCTGGGGTCATCTAGCCCCAGCCCTCTTTCCTGCCTATGCAGGGGGTCAGACTCGATGATCTTTTGAGGTCCCTCCCGACCCTAGCATCTATGAATCTATGAAACCCTTTGTGATGCTGATGTTACAGAAGAGGCAGCAGCAACAACAACAGCAGGAGGACTTCTGGATCAAGAATGTTGGAAAGAGCTACTTGCACTTTCATCATCATGATCTACCTCCTCACTTACACCCATGAAGGATTTTTTAATGTCTGCAGGACAGTTCTTACATACAAGGATGTGTTTGGTCATCCTAGTAGCATTTGGAAATGCATATTTCATTTGATAATATTTGAAAATCACAATTTTTTTCTCAGAATAACTTGCAGTGTGGAAATGCTTCCATATGCTAGAAGTTGGTTGCACCACTTTTATCTGCCCTGGGACTCAGGAAAAGATTAAGAAATGAAACAATTAACTGAAACTCTGGAGGAGGGTCTCAACCCGCCCCCACTCATGTTCCCAGCATCTGCAGACTATTGTCCCTCGACACCTTCCTCCCCAGTCCGGCTTCCCTGCCATCAGGGGTTGCATCCCCTTAATTACTGTCAGACCCTTCTGAAGGGTCCCTCCTTGGTCTCTCTCCCTCTTGGCCGTGCAGTCCTTACCCAGCTCAGGGGACGGCTCCGCGGCCTGCTCTCTGCCACATCCCTACAGCTGCTTCCCCACCTCCAGCCTTTATCTCCACTGGGTGGCATTCGTGGATGACATCATCTCCCCACGCCAGTCTCAGCTTCAGAGAAAAGCGACTGACAAACCGTGCGGGCGTTCTGTCTTGGCGTGGCTCACCTGGCCCAACTGTCTCTGAAAAAGGTATGTTTGCCCTGTCTTGAGGACTTTTCTGTTTGTTGTGGTGGCGAGTTGTTTCCACCTTGAGCCCTGCCACAGAAGGGGTCTCCTGCCTCTTTTCCTTCATCCCCCTGGGATGCATAGTTATTAGAAAGCATTTTGGGGGAGTAAAGGGTAGCAATATATGTTCACCTTATCTTAAGCATGTTATTCATAATTGTAAAATAAAATATTTCATAAGAGGATTTTTTAATTTTTCCAAAACTTTTCAATTTTTCCAATTTTTCGGAGAAAAACAAAAAAAAGTCCTTGGGGAAAAAAAAGTTTTTTCTGAATTTTTGTGGGGTTTTTTCTGTACCTTCACATCTCTATGCTGCACTACTCAAAACACCTGGTTGAGAATACAAAGGGAACAAGCATCCCTCTCCCTTGCTCCCTTCTGCCTTGAGGGGATTGGCCACCTACTCCTGTGGAAGTGGCCGCAACCACATAAGATGCATGTAGCGTGCTAAAAGATCGGGGTGGGGAGGGCTGAAAACCTTTGAAGGATGGGTAGTCTGCTGTTGCATGCAAGTCATGTTACCCTCCTCCCCCTACCCACCCTGCGTGGACACAGGGACCCCCGCAGTCAACCCCATGACTTTTCATCTCCCCCTAAGAAACCGCCCTGGACACCTCAAACTGAGTTTGCTAGGGTGGGGGACCAGAGTTTAGGCTGACTTTTGGCACCCGTGTCAGCATCTGTCATGGTCTGCAACAGCAAAACCAAAGCTGTGGCCACTTAGAGGGGAACCTGAACTGCTAGTGGTCTGCACTGACTGACCAAGCAGAGGTATGATGATTTAAAAGCTGCTAGCTTTTTCCTTTCCTTGTTGGCTGGCTTGAAGCGCATGTCCTGTAATAAAGTGTCTTTATCTATCCCTAATGAATTGTTGGCATGGGAGTGAATTCCATCACTGCTACTTTCTCAGGGCTGCTGGTAGGGTGGAAAGCTGGAGCTGGGAATGCAGGGGCTTGAGTGGATTGTCCTAGTCTAAAGACTTGTCTATACTTAAAAGACTTTGCTAATGCAGCTGTATTGGTAGACTGCCATGGTCAGCCCTTCCCCTCCTCCCTGTGGAAACACAGATTACATCAGCAATCTTTTGCCAGTAGAATTTGAACCAATTCCCATACCAGTAAAGTTTATTCCATTAAAGGGTATTCTTGCCAGTATAACTGCATTATAATTTATAATAGTACAGCAGTATTGGTTAGGGGGATATGATTTTTTTTCATTCTCCTAACCACTAGCCAGGCCAGGAAAATCATACCAGAAAAATTTCAAATTCCATGCTACATATACTAACGGCATTAATTTATTTAAGGTTATGGTCTTGTGAGGGGATTAATAGGATGAAATTGTGAAATAAAAAAATTAGGTGGAATATTATACAGTGGCTGAAGAGAGTAAATCAATAGAGAGATTTAGGATTCAACTAGAAATAATTATATACAAGTTTTATTGGGATATAGAAAATGATTTTCTGAACATGAAAACAAGCAATGAATAAGCTGATTCTTTACCTGTGGTCAGAACACTACCCACGATCATTTTAAAATTCTGAAATTGAATTAAACAGTAGGAAATAAACAGCTAAAATCAGTAACTCATTCCCATTGCAAATATATTTCTAAAAAACACAAACTCTCTTCTTTTCCCCCAGAAGATTTGATGGATGCTGTAGATGTTCCTACCAACTATATTTTATGAGTATTTGTGGGAAGAAAAGAGAAATGTCTAGCTACATGTTGGTCATTCGCATGATCTGCAGAAACTCCTGTTCATTCACTTCCCCATCTCCATCCATATCTGCTTCATCAATCATTTCCTGCAGGACAGTAAAAGGCAGAGGCTGATCAAACATCTCATAGAGCACATCTACAAGAAACAATACTGTGCAGGTGTTACTGCATTTATTTAGCACTGCGCTAATACTGAGATAGTACTAGCAAGTACTAAATAAATGCACAGTAACCAGAGTCACTGTGCAGAAGTGCCAGCGAATGTCTTTAGGTGATGCTACTACACAGTAGCCTAATAATACTGCACAGTAGCGTATTAGCACTGTCCGTGCTGTAACATGCTACTGTTTCGTATTTTTCAGCTAAATAAAGTAAATCCAAACTACTGCAATCCTACTGAAGTCACTGGAGAGGGCACAAGCACAACACGGAGGAAGAGCTTAGGAATTGTGAGTGTCTACATGTGCAATTAATGCACAAAAAACTTAGTGCATGGTAAAATACTATGCAGTAAGCTTTTTGTGAGAGCATGTCTCCATGTGCACCAGACAGAAGCAAATTTGCTCCCAAAAGGAGCAGCTCAGGGCAGGAATACTCCTACTTGCTGTCCCACCATATGGCAGTCGGAGGCAGCTCTAAGGTCACAGAATCATAGAATCATAGAAAATTAGGGTTGGAAGGGACCTCAGGTCACCTAGTCCAACCCGCTGTTCAAAGCGGGACCATCTCAAATTAAATCATTCCAGCCAGAGCTTTGTTGAGCCGAGCCTTAAAAACCTGCCAAGAAAGGAGATTCCACAACCTGTCTAGGTAACCTGTTCCAGTACTTCACCACCCTCCTAGTGAAAACATTTTTTCCTAATATCCAACCTAAAGTTTCCCTGCTGCAACTTGAGATCATTGCTCCTTGTTCTGCCACCTGTCACCACTGAGAACAGTCTAGCTGCATACTCTTTGGAAAAATCCTTCAGGTAGTTAAAGCCTACTATTGAATCCCCTCTCGGTCTTCTCATCTGCAGACTAAACAAACCCAGTACCCTCAGCCTCGCCTCATAAATCATGTGGCCCAGCCCCCATACCATTTTTGTTGCCCTCTGCTGGACTCTCTCCAACTTGTCCACAACCTTTCTATAGTGGGGGGCCCAAAACTGGACACAGTACTCCAGATGTGGCCAGTGCAGAATATTGCACTTGTCCTTGTTGAACCTCATGAAATTTCTTTTGGACCAATACTCCAATTTATCTAGGTCACTCTGGAGTACTATGTCCAGTTCTGGACACTGCAGTTCAAGCGGGATGCGGACAACCTGGAGAGGGGCCAAAGAAGAGTCACTTGTCTGACTGGAGGCCTGCAGGGAAGGCCCTACGAGGAAAGGCTAAGGGACCTTAACCTCTTCAGCCTCTCCAAGAGAAGGCTAAGAGGAGACCTTGTGGCGGCGTACAAATTCATAAGGGGAGAGCAACACACAGTAGGCGATGATCTGTTTACCAGGGCACCCCGGGAACAACAAGGAACAATGGCCATAAGCTACGGGAGAGTAGGTTTAGACTGGACATTAGAAAAAAGTTCTTCACAGTCAGGGTTGCCAGGATCTGGAATGGGCTTCCAAGGGAGGTGGTGCTCACCCCATCCTTGGGAGTCTTCAAGAGGAGGCTGGACAGACGCCTGGCTGGGATCACAGGATCCCAGGTTTGGTGACCCTTTTCTTGCCTGCCAGGGGCAGGGGGTCAGACTAGATGGCTCACTGAGGTCCTTTCCGGCCCTACCCTCCAGTGTTATTTACTGCTTCCTCCAGCTTGGTGTCATCTGCGAACTTGCTGAGGGTGCAATCCATCCCATCTTCCAGATTGTTAATGAAGATATTGAACAAAACTGGCCCCAGGACTGAACCCTGGGGCACTCCAGTTAATACCATCTGCCAACTACAACTTCATCAAGGAAACCATTACCAACATCCTAACAGAAGGTAATATTTGGAGAGATAGCCAACACAGCTTTGTGGTGGGTAGATCTTCTCTGACCAACCGTATTTCCTTCTATGATCAGGTGATGCATCACCTGGACAAAGGCGAAGAGGTGGATATCCTATTCTTGGACTTCAAGAAAGCCTTTGACCTGATGTTCCATGATGTCCTCATGGAAAAATTGGGAAATTGAGGCCTAGACAATTTCACAGTCCAATGGCTGGGGAACTAGCTCTGTGGTCAGACCCAGAGAGTGATAGTTGATGGAACCAAATCAACTTGGTGCACTGTAACCAAGACTTGGTGCATCCCCCAAGGCTCCATTCTCAGACCTGTATTCTTTAATGTGTTTATAAATGACCTGGACTTGGGTGTTATAAGCAGACTGGCTAAGTTTGCTGATGATATCAAACTATGGGGGAGTGCACCACCCTAGAGGATAGGCTGGAGATCCAGGCTGACCTTGAGAGGCTTACAATGTGGGCAGATCAAAACCTGATGGCATTCAATGCCAAGAAATGCAAGGTGCTCCACCTTGGGAGAAAGAACCCACAGCACACTTACAGGCTCAGCAGTGCTACACTAGCTAGCACCCCGTCTGAAAGAGACTTTGGAGTCATGATTGACCCCAAGGTGAACATGAGCCACCAATGCAACGCCGCAGCTGGCAAAGCAAACAAAACTCTGGCCTGCATCTTCTGATGCATCTCAAGCAAGACCTGGGAAGTCATCCTCGCACTGTACTCAGCCTTGGTGAGACTACAGCTGGAATACTGTGTCCAGTTCTGGGCTCTGCAATACAGAAAGGATGTGGAGAAGTTTGAGAGAGTCCAGAGGAGAGCCATGCAAATGATTAGAGGACAAGAGAGAAGGCCTTATGAGGAGAGGGTGAGAGACATGGGACTCTTCAGCCTGGAGAAGCATAGGCTGAGGGGTGACTTGATGGCAGCCTATAGGTATATAAGGGGTGTGCAAAAGGAACTGGGAGAATGTCAGTTCACCAGAGCACTCCTTAGGAGCAGTAGGTCCAACGGTCACAAACTCTTGGAAGACTATTTTAGGCTGGACATAAGGAAAAAATTCTTTACTGTCTGAGTCCCCAGGGCCTGGAATAGACTCCCCCTAGAGGTGGTGCAGGCACCTACTCTGAATTCCTTTAAGAAACTCTTGGATGCCTATCTTGCTGGGATCATTTGACCCCTGCTGACTGCCTGCCCCTTCCAGCCCTAATGTCTATGAAACTAGACATTGAACAATTCATTACTACCTGTTGAGCCCAACAATTCAACCAGCTTTCTATCCACCATACAGTCCATTCATCCAACCCATACTTCCTCAACTTGCTTGCAAGAATGTTGTGGGAGTTGGTATCAAAAGCCTTGCTAAAGTCAAGCTATATTACGTCCACTGCTTTCCCTGCATCCATGGAGCCAGTTATCTCATCATAGAAGGCAATCAAATTGGTCAGGCATGACTTGCCCTTGGTGAATCCATGCTGACTGTTCCTAATCACCTTCTCCTCCAAGTGCTTAGAAATGGATTTTTGAAGACCAGTTTCATGATTTTTCTGGAGACTGAGGTGAGGCTGACTGGTATGTAATTCCCTGGATCTTTCTTCTTCCCTTTCTTAAAGATGGGCACTATATTTGTTCTTTTCCAATTGTCTGGGACCTCCCCTCAATCACCAGGAGTTTTCAAAGATAATGGCCAGCAGCTCTGCAATCACATCAGCCAACTCCCTCAGCACCCAGGCCCATGGACTTGTACACATCCAGCTTTTCTAAATAGTTCCTAACCTGTTCTTTCACCACTGACAGCTGCTTACCTTGGCCCCAAACTGTGCTGTCCGGTGCAGTAGTCCAGGAGCTGACCTTGCCGGAGAAGACCAAGGTAGGCACAGAGTACTTCAACCTTTTCCTCATTATCTTTCATTGGATTGCCTCCCCCATTCAGTAAGAGACCCATACTTTCCCTGACCTTCCTCTTGTTGCTAACATACTTGTAGAAACCCTTCTTGTTACCCGTCACATCCCTTGCTAGCTACAACTCCAATTGCGCTTTGGCCTTCCTGACTTTATCCCTGCATGCCCAGGCAATATTCTTATACTCCTCCCAAGTTGTTTATCAAAGCTTCCACTTCTCGTAAGAGTCCTTTTTGTATTTAAGCTCACCAAAACGTTATCTGTTAAGCCAAGCTGATTGCTTGCCATATTTGCTATTCTTCCTGCACGTTGGGATGGTTTGTTGCTGTGCCCTCAGTAAGGTTTCTCTAAAATAAAGCCAGCTCTCCTGGACTCCTTTCCCCCTCAGACTGGCTTCCCAGGGGATCCTGCCCATCAGTTCCCTGAGGGAGTCAAAGTCTGCTTTTCTGAAGTCAAGGTCCATACTCTGCTGCTCTCCTTTCTTCCTTTTGTCAGGATCCTGAACTCAATCATCTTGTGGTCACTGCTGCCCAATCTGCCATCCACTTCTACATCCCCCACCAATTCTTCCCTGTTTGTGAGCAGTAGGTCAAGAAGAGCATGGCCCCTAAGTTGGTCTCTCCAACACTTGCACCAGGAAGCTGTTTCTAATACTCTCCAAAAACTTCCTGGATTGCCTGTGCACTATGGTACTGCCCTCCCAGCAGGTATCAAGGTGATTGAACGTGACTGAAGGTCAAGGTGATTGAAGGCCCATGAGAACCAGGGCCTGTGATCTGGAAACTTCCACTAGTTGTCTGAAGAAAGCTTCCTCTACTTCCTCCTGGTCTGGTGGTCTATAGCAGACACCCACCACAATATCACCCTTGTTGCTCTCCCCTCTAACCTTAAACCAGAGACTTTCAACAGGCCTATCTCCAGTTTCATACTGGAGCTCTGAGCAATCATACGACTCTTTTACATACAGCACAACTCTTCCTCCTCTTCTCCCCTGCCTGTCACTCCTGAATAGTTTGTACTACTCATCCATGACAGTGCTCCAGTCACGTGAGCTATCCCACCAAGTATCCGTTATTCCAATCACATCACAGTTCCTTGATTGTGTGAGGATTTCCAATTCTTCCTGCTTGTTTCCCAGGCTCCATGCATTCATGTACAGACACATGAGGTGACTAGCCAATTACCCTACTTTCTCAGGAAAAATGAGGCCTCCCCTGTTGCCCTCTCCTGCTTCTGCTTCCTCCAGGTCCTGCTTCTTCCCCACTTACCTCAGAAAGGCAGAGGACACCAGGGTCGGGCCTGGGCTCTGCGGGGCAGCTGTTTCCCAACCCCATGCCCCAATCCACCAAATGGGGCAGGGGGCTGGGAAATTATCCCCACCCCTGCAACTGTTTCTCAACCCCCTGCCCCAATCAGCTGGTGGGGCAGCTGGCAGCAAGCCCCCGGATGGGTGGGGAATCCCTGCCCAGCCAGGGGCTGACTGGGAGCTGTCCCGCCAGTGGGGCAGCTGGCAGCGAGCCCCCAACCGGGTGGGGAATCCCCAGCCAGCCCCTGGCTAAGCATTAAAGCAAGAGCTCCCCAGTCCCAGACATGCTCGGCTCCCCACTCCTGTGGGGAGCCAGGAGCCCTGCAGCACTGGGATAGGGATGGGGCAGAGAGGATGGATCCTGATCCCTGCATTAATCAGGTCCCAGCTCCTGGGAGGAGCCAGGAGCTGAGCAGAGCCAGGACTGGGCCCCTTGCTAGTGTGGCTGACTTGTTCTTGGTCAGTGTCTACACAAGCCCTACTACGCAGTAACTTCTGCACAGTTATTTTAGTATGTGTATTTACAGGTACAGGCAGTCCTTGACTTACGACTTCTGAGTTACGATGAACGGCGCTTACAACATTTATAAATTTCCACCCTATTTCAAGGTTCCAACGTGGATTTTGACTTTACGGCGCTCAACATTGCTGCCTCCAGCTGGTAAGTCCCTTGTGGTGAGGAGGAGGAGTTATAAATAGAAAACATAAAACAATGCATAATTTAACATGGCCAATCATGGTTTTGTCCCTGCTGCGAGCAGGTTTTTGGGTTGAATATGGCCACTTCTTTTGGGTCTTGTGATCCTAGTTGCACTGCTCAAACAATTATATCTCCTTTCTTAAAAAGGTAACCTCAACTAAAAGCCAGTAATGTATGCTAAATATAAAGCAGTTGAAATTTTACAAGTCATTGAACTGCAAGAATTTAAACAGATACACCTAGACACAATCAGAACCCAGCAGCATATTTTATGGCCATAGGATGTCTTATTAATAAACCATTACCAGAAATCTCTGCCTAATAACAAAGTACATGAGGAAAAATCTAGCTAGCAGCTACCGGCCTTTTTTTTGGTTCCTATGTTGATGTTTGGATCATTGTTTTTTGATCATGCTTTGGAAGCATATAGTTAAACATACACAAGGATTCATCAGTACATACATTACATCTGCTGGTACATACAGTATATGTCTACATGAGATGCTTTACTGTGCAGTAGACTAATCTACCATGCTGTAAAACATCACCATGGGTCTGTCTACACAAGACGATAAATGCAAAGTGAACTAATTCTACTGCACATTAGCCTGGCAGGCAAAAACCATGCTAATGTGTAGTAGAATTAGTCTACTGTGCATTAGCGTCACAAAAAGAGCATGTGCTGGCGCTACTGCATTTCTTAGGGGACAGACTCTTGTCCTCCTGCAGTAATACAGAACATGTCATAGCAGACCCTTTCTGTCAAGTCCAGTATCCACCCTTTGACTGTTACCCGATGCTTCTGATGAAGGTAAAAATTCACTCTCCTAATTTGTAAACCATAACAGAAACAAGGAAAAGCCACTAGTCAAGTCAGTTGGATTCAGAAAACTGTACAGCTTACCTACTACCTAAATTAAATTCCCTTGAAACAATGACTCCCTCCCAAGTAAAGTGCTATGCATTACCAACCTGCAGTTCTTCATCTGTAAGATTTTCCCCAATCTCATTAGCCACACATTTGAGGTTTTCGAATGAGATTTTGCCAGTTCCATTCTGATCATACAGCTTGAAGGCTTTCAAAATGTCTTCTTTGGAATCTGGCTCCGACTTGAAAAAAAAACATGGAACAAGGTTATAAAACCGTGAAGGGGAGCCGCCTCCTGCAATTCTCTCTGGCACACATTTGACTACTAGTTTTAGGAATCAGAGATGAGAGATAAGTTTGCCACTGTAGAGTTTATTTGTTGTCACAATTTTACATTTCTCACATTTTTTTGTTTTAATTAAACACGAACAAGGTTGCTTGCACACTGTAGGAAAACCAGAGCTGGTATCTTGGCAATGCTTCAGGTAAGAATTGAACCTTAACCAGTAGGGCAGTGCCTAGCAAGTATTCAAAGCCACAGGCCAGAGCAACCCAGCTTGGGTTCAAAGTGAGCCAGTGTTCTGGCCCAGCTGCTGCTGCCACATCTCCTTGGCTACAGCATGGGTACAGCTCCTTTCAACCCAGGCCCAGAGTAGCAACTTGCTACCCAGCTCCAGTGGGGATGTGATCAAAAACCC